TTTTTTTTTTTTTAATTTTTTTCTGCGTTTTTTTGTCATCGGTGGTCCTCTTCTCAACCGGTGGATTGCTGCATTAAACGGATGAATAGAAGGGAAGGCTTTCTCTAGAAATATGTTATTCCCGGTTGAGGGTTGCTATATTAGAACAAGGCACTAGTGGTACTATTCATCGGTCCACAGTGAGATAACCAGCTCTAACAGCAACTGAAGCACGGTGCTTTCCGGTTCTGCGACAGCTTGGCGAGGCGGCGTGCGACATGGGATTCTTCACGGACTTGGACCAGGAGGAAGAACAACGGGAGGAGGAGGAAGTGGTAACGCTCCTGGCGTGAGACCCTCTCGTTCTTTTGCCGCCTTGTCTGCACCTCCGCTTTGCGCCATGCAGTCCGTCGCGTCGTGTCCCGTCGGACCTGCCATAACCTACCCCTGCTCATTCACGCCTACGCTTAGCACGTGTTTGGGCCTGCGGCTTCTCCTCGCTTTGCTGCCCAATCTTGCCATAGCGAGCCTGCTCGTTGCCGCTTGCCTCTCCGAAAGGGTGTTTTTGTGCGCCTCTTCCAAGAGCTTTGTGTTGCTAATTGCGGGCACCATTTGCTTCTTCTCCCTGTTTCTTGCTTGCAGCTGCTGATTATTCTTTACGATCGGCGCTGCTTGTTTGCTGGACGTAGCAATTGGGTAACGGGCGACTTAGATAATGGAGTCCAAGGGGGCGATAGGGATGTTTTCGCACACCTTTTTGGCTTTTCTATCCTTTATATCTTTCCTTTCCTTTCTCTGCTTCATCTACTCCCTCCCTTCCCCCCCTCCGCATGGACTCTGCCACCCTTGCTGCCCCTCCCCCCCTCCCAAACCTTCACCACCCACCATAACCACCCATCATCTCTCTCTTGTAACGCCCCCCCTCGCCCCACCTCGACCCCCCGCCTTCCAAAGATCATGGAAGATGTCCCCCCTTTGATGACACCCCACATCGCATGGGGTAGAAAAGCGCTTCAGGGATCTGCCATGCCCTTCCTGCAATTCGGCGAGATAGTCCGTGCGGATGCAGGAGCACACCGGACCTGGAGGATAGAGCTGAAGCAGGATCTTCTTCCCTGTAGCGGACCCACTAGGTGTGGTGCTCCGCTAGGGATGGTGATGGAGATGGAGGGTGAGGGAGGAGCGAGACAACACAGCGCGGCTCCCACGCAAGACTCCAGCGCACGTACTCCAAACTGTGCGGATGTAGAATGATCACGAAAACAGACAACTGCTGAGGTATACCCCAGCGCACTGACGGGACTGGACTGGACTGGCTGGTACCGAATAGAGGTACCGGCCTGGACTGGACTCTCCCGAATAAAACACAGGCCTGTGAGAACAGGCCAAGGGGCTGGTCTTACAGGCCCACCACAGGTCCGCTACACGATCCTCGACCTGTGATGGATCGCCTAGATACAAGCACGCTTCCCCCAAGAAGCGGAACTCTACCAAAGAAAAGAAAACCTGAGTAGTCTAGGATGCGGAGCAAGCTCCATGCTGAGTCCATGTGATGCAACCTAGGCTAGAAAATATCACAAAACAGCAATGTCACAACTAACAGCCTAAGTAAAAGCAGAAGCAACTAACTAGCATACATGTCCTATGAAAGCAGAAAGTAGTGACAACTAGATCCTAGAATGTTGGAGGCAGTAGCCTCAGTCTGGGAACAACTGACCAGTGTATAAGTCCTACGAATAGCAAAAGCAGAACAACTAAATCTTAGAAATGTTAGAGGCAGTAGCCTCAGTCTGAGAGCAACAAGCAACAACAAGACAACCATATGTCACAGGAGAAGTGTGTCGCAAACCAAAGGGTGGGATGGTCTCTGAGGGTGGCGAATGCAGCCTAGGGGTCGAAAACTCCTAAGGGCATCCACACGTATATAACAGGGAGAAACATGTCATTAGGCTCAATGAGGGTAGGGAACTGGGAGCGAACAGAACCAATGACCCTAACAGATAGACCATCAGGGCGGGTAAAGCTCGACTAAGGGGTGACCGCTCGAGGGTCGACCATGCAAGGGAACAAGGGAGCCTGGTATACTGGGCGGACCTAGATGAAGCATGCGGGGCTGCCTAACTAGGGCGTGAGGGCCGGCAGAAGGTAGAAAGATGATGGGTAAGGGAATCATGCAAATGACTCTTAAAGTGAGGGAAGTCGGAGCTAGATCCGTAAGATGGAAAGCCAGGGCAACGCTACGGTCCCGATGCCTATGCGTATACCAAGGGAGAGCCCAACGCAGAGGAACCCGGCTAAAGGGAGACCATCATGCGACACAACAACGGTCTTGTACAAGGTAAAGTGGTAAGAGAGTGATGACGTCTGAAGTAGGCAAAGCTGATCGCGACGAAGTCCATGAAGCTGTCGATGACGTCCACGATGAGAAGTCCGGAATGTCGTCGAGGAAGAGCCACAACGTCGACGAGCTGAAGTAGTAAGACTGATGTGGATGGAGTACTGAGAAGTCTAAGACGTGGGAAGGTAAGTCAGAGTCAATCGTCGTATCGAGCAGGACGACGACAAGTGCGCTGTGGACGCTCAGAAGCATCCGGCTGCTGCTGAAGGTCTGCCTCAGATGGAGCAAGCTCGACTTCAGCGGTCTCCTTAGTCGGGGGAGAAGGAGGAGGGTCAGTGGGCTGAGGAGGAGCAGTGAACCCAGCATGACGAGCACGCTCGTAGGCACGCACCAACATGCGAGCGTGCTGCAAGTGCTCGAGGGGCTCCCAGGTAGCCTCCTCATCAGGGTAACCCTTCCAACGTACGAGATACTCGACGTRGGGAGGGTTGTCGTCRGTGACTCGRCRACCAATGATGTCTGAAACGAGGAACTCCTCGTGGCCGTCCACCATGATGGGTGGAGGGCGCTCATATGGTCGTCCAACGAAATGCTCAGACGGTCTGCGATAAGGACGCAGTAACGAGACGTGGTAGAAATTGTGCACACGAGCCTGATGTAGGTAGTCGGGCTGCTTTACACGGAAGCTGACCGGGCTAGAAGCTGTATGAGAACCGACGGCCTTGAGGATGTGGCATGGGCCAAATAAGCGACGCTGAAACTTGCGAAGTGTGTCCGCTTCGAGCTGTAAGTGGCGGGCGTCGATAAGCACATCATCACCGACTTTGAATGGGTGATCCATCCTCAATTGGTTCGCACGTGCTGCCATGAAGGTCTGGGAAGCGACTATGTGCTCATGTGAGGTCTTCATGATCGACGAGGCTGGCGAGACGGCGTGGTTGTAGGCTATCTCCGCATGGGCAAGATGGAAATCCCACTGCTGATCGTCACGGACAATCTTTCGGAGAATATCTTCGAGAGTCCTGTTCGTGATCTTGGTCTGACCATCAGTCTGAGGATGGTAAGACGAGGAGAAGCGGAACTGTGTGTCGTACACCTCGTGAAGCCGTCGCCAGAATCGGTTGGTAAAGGGCGGGTCACAGTCAGTTATGATGCTCAAAGGTAAGCCGTGGTCACGCACCACTCTGTCAAACACGATGTCGGCGACCTCACGTGCATCGATGGCATAGCGGCACGGAACAAAGCGTGCATGCTTCGTGAAGCGATCGACGACGACCAGGATAGCATCATGACCGCGAGGGGTCGGAGGACGAAGGGGACCGATAAAGTCCATCGAGATGGACTGCGAACGACCCTGAGGGATAGGAAGAGGCTGGAGCAAACCATAAGGAAGGTGGTTTGCACTGTTCACCTCCTGACAGGTGGGACACTTTGCGACGTAGTCCTTCACAAAGTCCTTGCACTTCGGCCAGACGTACAGGCGGCTCACACGAGCCAACGTCTTGTGGAAGCCCATATGACCGGCGGCTGCCTGGTCATGGAACTCTTCTACTGCTCGGACACGTAGCTGTCCAGTGAAGGGAACGCAAATACGGGGCTCTCTGGTGCCCTGTGAACCGTGCCAGTACACAAGACCGTTGTCCCCGAGAGAGTAGTTCGGGACGGTCTTGCCACTCCGAAGGGTCGCGTGTGTGTCGCGATAGTCGGGGCAGTGGTGGTACTGAGTGCGAAACTTATCGATCACCGAGTGGTGGACAGTGGTGACCGAGATAAAAGAGAGATGGATCTGCTCTTGGTCGTGGTCAGGGCGTCGGGATAAGGCATCTGCGACCCGATTAGTCTCACCCTTGATGTGCTCAATGGTGAAACTAAACTCGGATAGGTCGCGCCACCAACGAGCCTGTCGAGGAGTGAGCTTCGGTTTTGTCTGAAAAGCCTGGACAACAGAGTTGTCCGTGCGCACCGTGAAAGGTGCCCCGTGCAGGTAGTGACGCCAGTGCCGAGCGGCATAAACTACTGCGAGAACCTCACGTTCATCAGCGGTGTAGTTTATCTCGGCGGGCAGGAGCTGACGGGAGTAGAAGGCTATCGGACAATCACCTGAGCGAGACTCGACAGTGCCGTCCTCGGCGATGGTAGGAAAATAGTCAATAGAAGGCTCGTCAGTAGCTGGACGAGTAGGCGTAAGTCGGGAAGCCGTGGTAGGGGTAGGTGGTGGGAAGCGAGGGATACGAGGATTAGAGGAATCAGGAGAGGAGGGGAAGAACCGAAAAAGCACTGCTCCTACAGCAAAGTCTGACGCATCAGTGGTAAGGATAAAAGGGCGGTCAAAATCGGGTAGGTGAAAAACCGGTGCGCATGTCACCGCCTTTTTGAGGGCGCGGAAGGCGTCCTCGTGGAGGGGTGTCCAAGCCCAGGGTGGGTTCTTCCAGAGGAGGGTGGATGTAAGGACGTAGGAATACCTAGCGTATCCCTGGATGAAATTACTATAGTAGCTGGTAAGGCCTAGGAAGCTGCGAAGCTGCTTGGCGGATGTGGGGACGGGCCACTCCGCGATAGCAGTGATCTTCGCGTCATCCATGTGGAGACCCTGGTCAGACACGTAGTGTCCTAAGAAATTCACTTTGTGCTGGGCAAAGCGGCACTTGCTCAGCTTGGCATAGAAGCCATGTCTGCGCAAGCGATCAAGGACGTCGCGGAGGTGTCTGAGGTGCTCCTCAAGGGTACGACTGTAGACCAGGATATCGTCGAGGTAGACGAGAATGTACTGCTCAAGGATGTCCCTGAAGATGCCGTTTATCGCCTTCTGAAATATAGCGGGTGCGTTGCTGAGGCCGAATGGCATCACCGTAAACTCGTTGTGGCCGAAGCGCGATCGGAACGCTGTCTTCGGCTGGTCCGCTGCAGCGACCCGGATCTGATGGTAACCGCTACGAAGATCAATCCTCGTAAAGAAGCGGTTGCCTGATACAACAGAAAAATTCCCATGAGAAATGAAAGTTGAAAAAACATTCAATGCAAAAAAAATCCTTCATATTTATAAATTATCATTCCAATGTTTGTCCAATTCTAAAATTTCCAATTTAATTTGAAAAGTTCTCGTCTAAATATGAGCTTCCCCTTCTAACTACATCTATTTGTTCAAGATGGAATGAAAGTCTGGACGAGTTTATGAAATGTTTTTATTAGACTTTCATTCTACTACAACAAATATCGTCTAATTTAGATTTGATTAACCTATTTATTACTAGAAATCCTTACTTAGAATGGAAGTCCAATTAAAATATTTCATAAACTCATCTAGACTTCCATTCCATCTCTAGCATGCAGTTCAAATAAGAAGGGACACCTCATTCTTGGAAGGAAAATTTTCAAGTAAGACGGAAAATTTTAAAATTAGAATGACATTTTTTAAAATGAAATTTTAAAATGTAGAATGTAATTTTACTCTAGAATGATTATTTAATTCTGGGAATTGTTTTTGTTGTAGGCGGTCGAACAGCTCATCGGAACGAGGCATGGGGTAGCTGTTCTTAACAGTGTAGCGGTTGAGACCGCGATAGTCGATGCAGAGACGGAGAGTTCCATCCACTTTGCGAGCAAAGAGGACGGGTTCACCCCACGGGGAGTTGCTGGGTTTAATGAAACCCAGTCTCAGGAGCTCCTCAAGCTGACGCTTGAGTCCGGTGGCCTCGGGGATCGAGAGTCTGTAGGGCGTCTATTGGTGAACACGATAGTCAGGCACAAGCTGGATGGAGTGCTCGACGTCGCGCATCGGTGGGATGCCAGCGTACGAGAACGACGATGGGAAAACGTCGTGGTACTCTCGAAAGAGGTCACGAACTGCGGGTTCCAGGTCAGCCGTATATCGTGCGAGTTCCTCAGCGTCAGCGTCAGCGCGCGACGGCGGGGTGGACTCGACGGACGACGGAGGGACGGAAGCAGAGATGGGAGTCATGAAGATAGAAGGAGGAGCTGGCTCCAGAGGGATGAGCTCGGCGTCGGGACAGGGTGGATCATAGTGTAAGAGATCCGTCACGTTCACCATAAAGAAGGTGACGTCGTCCTGTCGGATGAAATGGGCGAACTGCCGAGGCGAGGTGACAGTGATAGAAGGAGATGAAGAGGGCACGGAAGGCTCTGGGGGAGAAGGATCGGGGCATGGTGTCGCAGTGGTACCTATGAAAGGTACGTTATACGTCTGTCCACACTTCGTTTTGAGAACGAGAGTGTTGATCGCCCAATCGGCCTCGGTGCTGCGGAACCGACGAGACCACGGAGTGCCGAGAATGAAGTCGTACCCCGTCTCCATCACATCAAAATGTGCAGAGGAGCGGTGGCGACGAGACGCCAGGGGACGATCAGTCGGCTCGAGAGTGAGGAAGAAAGGGAGGTCGGTGACCGTCTGATCGAAGAAGCATTGGGTCTTGTCATCCCCTAGGGTAACGGAGATGGGAGCCAGAGACGCTGTCGTGGGTAAGCGGACTTCTTTCACCACACGTGGCTGAATGAAGTCGCCTTGAGAATCGGAATCCCACAGCGT